CCAGGCATCAGAAGCAAGAGTGAGGAGGAAGACCAAGATAGTACAATACTCACCCTGTGCCGCTTGTGGGAGTGCCTGTGGTCTGGGGTGTGCCTGTGCTCGTGAGTACCAGGGTGTCGCGCCTCAGACGCTAGCTCACTCCCGAGATGTTCCTGCTGTGTCAGCTCAGGTTGCAGCTGTTGTTGCTGCTGCTGCCGGTGCTGCTGAGACCGCTGGTGCTGGTGTGCCAGTAACCGTGTCGCAGCCGAATAATAGTCCACAAGCTCTTGTTCCTCCTCAGAAGTGAACCCACCCTCGCTGAAGAGTTTACACGGGGACGAAGCAGTTCGCTGATGGATAGGTCCTATGGAGAGAGGGGGGGAAAGGGTCCCCTCCCCGTCGCTCTCCCACGCTGTGCCGCCCACTGGGGAGGTAGCCCCGGGGTCTGTCTCCTCGCTAATTTTACGACGCAGTGGCCTGTCTGAGGTATTCGAGTAGTTTATGCTAATGGCAGAGTCGTCGAAGGAGCGGGTGGTGGGGATGATGAGTGACGGGCGGCCGGTTCCCTCCGCCATCACCGCGGGAGACGCGGGGGAAGGAGGGCGAGGCGAGCAGCTCTTCGCATCCCGAAGACGAAAATAGGAGTCTTCGGTCAGGTACGTCGAGGAGGATTTCGACTTGCTCATCTCGGCCTCCAGCATCTCGCCGTAGGGTCCGCGAAGTGGCCTCTTGGAGTATCGTCGAGGGCCGAGCGGGCTCCTGGGGGCGCTGCGGTCCCCGGAATCGCTATCCTGAAGGTACGGAATCGGTGAAGCGTTCCTGGCGGGCGTGCGGCACGGTGGGTAGTCAGAACCGTCACTCTCGTGTCCACTGAACATTACCTGCGGCGTAAGTCTCGGCACGCCCACGATAGGCTGCTCCCCTCGCTCATCCCGTCCCTCGGAGTCCGTGGACGCCTGGGACACGACGCCCTTGCTGGAGGTCCTCGTCGCCTCCCCTTCTGAGGTCGTATTCCCGAGATGAGGGTCGCTAAGGTACAGCAGGGCGTCTGTGCTGCCACGCCTCTCGCAACTTGGGTCGCTATGGTGCTTCTTCTTACGCTCGGCGCGGTCGATCGGTCGAGTCTCAGAGATGATAAGTAGCTGGTGCGTATCTCGAGGCTGGCTGGCCTCGCTCTGAAAGCTGTCGGCGAGAGAAACGGAGCTGCGCTGCTCCTCACTACTACCTCGGTCTCCATAGCCACCTGACGTAGCTAAGCTCCGGAGGCCATTGCTCTCCACAGACGAGTATCCTATAGAGTCAGCCTGAGACCCTTTCCTAGGCGGTGGGAAGGTGAGGGACCGTTCGTTGCCTTCTTCGGTTAATTTCCTCCGTCGCCGCGACCCCGTCCGAACAGGAGCTTCTGTGGCAGACGCCGCAGCTGCCTCGACGGCCTCCTCGCAACGTTCCTGAGACACACCCACGCTGTCCTGTGACGAGGAATCAGACGAGTCTCGGGGTTCTTGACTCTTAATCTCTTCCTCAAAAATGCCTTCATCGCTGACCTGAGTAACGTACGTAGCTCGAGAAGGTTCGCGCTCCCCGCTATCCCCATCGGAATCCTCTCTCGGCAGGCGAGGTCGAGACCTCATAACCCGGCACTCGGAGGTCGCGCCCTGGACCCCTAGAGGATCCCCTTCCCCTTCTCGAGCTCCAGTCTTAATGACTAAACACTGAGACAGTCTCGGCTCCTTCTGCAACACCTGGCACTCGATCTGCCTGCGGTCTGTACACTGGCTTCCACTCCCCTCCGCGTGGGGAGCCTTACCCTCCCCTACGGACGCCGCAGCCACTCTGGGCGCTGAGCTTGGATCTTCTGAAGGAATTTCTGCTAGTCTAATGTCACTTTTAGGGGGTGGACACTCATTATGAACTAAAGATATTTTATTACTAAGAGCACTAGGATCAACATCAGAAATTTCTTTATGTTCTTGAGGGTCATGCACAGACTTGAGAGTATCCTCTGGAGGAACCAGTCCTCCAGAGTTGGGCGGTTCCCCTCCCGGGGGAGCCCCACTTACTTCACACTCCCCATCTTTCCCCAACACTGACACATCACCTCGATCTGCAACACTTACCTCGTCATTGTGCCCTTCAATGCCACTTTCCAGAACGAATTCGGGAGAAGTGACGTCGCCCACGCTGCTGCTTCCTTCTATGGCTGCGCCTTCCTCAGACACTCGTGGCGCTTCGGTCGTCGAGTCTTTTTTCGAAGTCGAAGGTCCGTCCACGTCACCTTGTAAAGACGGTATTTCCCCGACCGAAGTTCTTATGCCGGCCACGTTATTCACACTATCACCCCCTTCGCCGCTTCCTTTTGTTTGGGCCACGTCGCCATGGCACGGGAGACTGGCCGCCGTTGTGACCAGCCCCTGCGCCCCCGGGTCTCCTTCCGACCCTCTTTGTGTGTCGTTCCCCAACGCTCTCTCTTTGTCTACGTTCTCACTCGATTTTGAATTTATCTCTAGCTTTTGGGGTGTTTCACTTGAAATTTCTATAGATATTTTTGAATTAGCTATATCACCTACATTAAAATCTTTATGATCAACAACACAAGCACTGGTATTTTTCCCACCATCGAAAAGATTTTGCTCGTTATTAACTTTTGTTATATCCGTTTTAAAATCGTTTTCATTAACGTTTTGCACTGTTTTCGCATCACTTTCAGTTGTATTCTTTTTAAAATCTGCTTTATTTACACCCTGAGCCTCGTCACTGTGCGAAGGCATCTCAAGCTTAGTATTTTCACTTGCCATCTGCTTCGAGTCATTTTCTCCTTTCTGATCACGTTTTAATTCAATTTCATTTACATTTAAATGCTTTGGCTTATCCCTTTTCCCTTCCTCGTCTGGCTCTTCCTTGAAGTCGGCCTTCTTGCCCCGGGCGTTGTTGTTGTCCCGAAGGTCCTTCACCAGGATATCGACCTTGGGACTCCCGCCCTCGCCGGCCCTCAGACCCGCCGCCGACAACTCGCTCTCGGACTTGGACTTGTTCTCGAGCTTCTCTGGCGGCGAGGAGCCCGTCTTGGCACCAACGTTGGTCATGTCACTGATGGATACCGCGGCTGCGAGCGGCGGGTGGAGCTCAGGGCCATCCTGGGTCCTGCCCTCCTCCTTGTCAGCCACGACGGGCTTGCGCCGCGGCAGGGTGTTCGAGAAATAGTAATTCGTACAGATGGGGTAGAGGCGGATGGCAGTTGGAGACTTGCTGCTGCGCGAGGAGAAAGGGCCATCGGAGGACACGTCCACCTGCGACACCGAGGCTGACCTGAAGGGGATCACTCGGGGAGAGATACCCAGTCGAGGTTCGGGCCGCGGTCGCGGAGGAAGTTTTGCGATGTCCTCCTTAAAGACATCCTCATCCTCACGAGCGCCACCCTGAGGACCCACATCCTTCTGGTCCTTCGCGGTGGGCGGCGACGAAGACTTGCTGTCCCCTCCATCCTTCGCGGATGGGAGCTGAGGGGGCAGACTGGGGCTCTTCCCCAGGGAGGGATGGCGAGTCACGACGGAGCGAGGCTTCGTCTTCGCCCGCGGAGGGACGCTCTCGGGCCCCTTGCCCGCCGAGCTGGTGTCCGGAGGAGGGGCAGAGTCGGCTCGGACCTTCTTATCGGGCGAAGGGGTTTTAAGGCGCTCCGTACATTTCCTAAGACTCTCCAAATGATCCTGTCGAGATCGGGGCGGGCGTGATGGTGGGGGGCCACGCCCCCCTTCCTTCCTTCCGCCCCCCAGAGCGCCGGTAGAGTTGCCCAGTCGGAACCGGGCAGCGCTACTGGAGGAAAAGTCTACCTTGTAGTCGGGAGACTCAGGTGGCCCTCCTGATGCAGGACTGAGGTCAGGTAACGTCAGCGTCCGGGCTCCCTCATCTGTAGGCCCCGCCACGGGCCCCCCGGAGGGCCCCACGCCACCGTGACCCTCGACACCTTCCTGCTGTGGTTTATGCTTGTAGTTTATGCCAGCATCACTAGGTAGCAGCGCCGCCCACCGTCGGTATAAATGATCTGGTATTTCTGGTCTAGGCCGTACCAGCCTGCGGCTTGTCCTATCTCTGAAGCTGCTGGGGGCTGCGCCACAATTGTCCTGGGGGGTCACTGGCTCCGGGGGGGCCACACGGTCCCCATGACCGCTGCCCCCCGTCGCTACACTTCCGCCCCCTCCGCCGGAAAACACTTCACACTGCACTGTTCTGCCATGGGCGTGAGTGGGCGGTGTGGGCGGCTGAGCACTGCGCTGGTCACTGGTAAGGTGCGCACTGGCGGGTTCCTCCGGGATGGCAGGGCGCGGCGGGCCCGGGTAGCTAAACATAGTGGCGTGGCGGGGCACCAGCTGCCGGGGGGAGCGGCCCGCCACACAACACGTATATTTAGCGGCGGGGGGAGGCAGCCCGTCCGCCCTCACTTCCTCCACTACGACCGCACCTCCTGCAGCAGCACCCGGCGCCGCTGTCCGCTGCGCCCCCATACCCTCGCCCTCATTACTGGGGGCGGTCTTCAACAGGCTGAGATTGCCAACGCCCCGACGCCAACATATCGGAGAGCGACTGCCCTGCGAGGGTCGTCGAGCGGCCTGGGTGCCGTCACACTGCGTCACTAGAATGGTGGCCTCGCTTTTGAAAGTTGTGGCGTCGACGGGAGAGTTTATGGGCGGCGCTGGACGCGCACCACCCCACAGGGAAGCTGACTTGTTCGCCTCGGGAGGGTTTGATGATAATTTTAGCGGGCTTGTGTCGGAGCCGCTCTTGGTGTGAACGCTTACGCCATCTGTTGGCGCCAAACGCCACCTGCCGCCTACACCGCTACTGTCACTCCCTCTATTGTCCGGGCTCTCACTGGCAGCGTTTTGCTCTGCTTGGGGCGCAGGCGACACCCACGGGCGAGGCAAGGCGTTGAAGCTTCGCCTGCCGGCGGGAGGGCGTGGGGACACGGGGGGGAGGAGGGGCGAGACGACAGGGACAGGAAGCTTGTGGCTGATCAACGAATGGGC